ACTAAATAAACAAACAAATAAATAAATAAACAAATAAATAAATAAATAAATAAATAAATAAACAAATAAATTAAATAAATAAATAATAAATAGAACATCTACCTCTTGCTTTATTAATGTCTTGAAGGAGCGTCGGGCTGCAGCTAACGACGCCCCAGCGAAATTCTTTTAAGCAAATTACACCTCTTTGTTTTCTATCGAGAGCCTGCATTCAGGTGTATATGCAGCAGCAGCAGCAGCAGCAGCAGCAGCAGATGCAGCAGATACAGATGCAGCAGATAGAGATGCAGCAGCAGATGTAGCAGATGCAGTTGCAGCTGCTATACTAGCAGCAGCAACACAAATATCAGCAAATGCAGCAACAAAGCAGCAGCAGCAGCAGCAGCAGCACAACCACCACCACTTGCAGCAGCAGCAGCAACAGCAGCAGCAGCAGCAGCAGGAGATAGTATTCGTACATCAAATAAGAAGTGCTGGTGCTCTACTTGAGGCAAACAAACTGAAAAAGTATTGAACAGCCTTAGAAACTCCTTGCGCGTCAACCCCTCTCTACAAACACAAATAAATAAATAAATAAATAAATAAATAAATAAATAAATTAATTAATAAATAAATAAATAATAAATAATAAATAATAAATAAATGTTATTAAAGCAATAAATTAAAGAAATAAACAAAAAAAACGAAGACAGACAGAAATAGTAATCGCCCTCTGTGCACCCCAAACAAACCCTAAACCCTAAACCCTAAACCCTAATAAACCCTCATAAACCCTCATAAACCCTAATAAACCCTAATAAACCCTAATAAACCCTAATAAACCCTCATAAACCCTAATAAACCCTAATAAACCCTAATAAACCCTAATAAACCCTAATAAACCCTAATAAACCCTCGTAAACCCTCGTAAACCCTCGTAAACCCTCATAAACCCTCATAAACCCTCATAAACCCTAATAAACCCTCATAAACCCTCGTAAACCCTCATAAACCCTAATAACCCCTCAGTCTGTGCTTGATATTTACTGAGGCTTTTGAAGAGCAAAAGCAAAGAATAACGAAGAAAGAAGCTGCGAATATTCTACGCAATAATCTTCCTGCAGCATTTGGCTCCACAAGACCCCGACAGACACCCAGTTTTTAAACCCTGCTGCTGCTGCTGCTGCTGTTGATGCTGCTGCTGCTGTTGATGCTGCTGCTGACCCTGATCCTGATCCTGCTGCTGCTGCTGCTGTCTCTTCACTCGCAGGGCTATCAGCAGGATGAGACGCAGCACCTGCTGCTGCTGCTCTTGGTGTTGCTTTTGCTGCTGCTGTTGCTGCTGATCCTGACGCATCTGCTGCTGCTGCTGCTGCTGCTACTGCTGCTGCTGTTTCTGCAGCTTTTACTGCTGCTTGCTGCTCCTCACAGTCATCTTCTTCTCCTGCTGCTGCTTCAACTGCTGCTACAGCTGCTGCTGCTGCTGCTGCAGGAGCAGCAGCAGCAACTTGCAGCAGCGCGCGAGCTGTCTCCCCTAAGTTAGACAAAACAGCCGCAGCAGCACTAGCAGCAATAGGCTTCTTTTCTGCTTCCTGCTGCTTGTTGCTGCTGCTGCTGCTGCTACGGGCTCGGCTGCTGCTCTCCCTGCTGTCGCTGCTGCTGCTGCTGCTGCTGCTGCTGCTGCTGCGCATAGCTCGTTTGGTGCGGCTCGTCTTCCGTCGCCGCCGCTGCTGCTGTTGCTTCTGCTCTTGCTGTTGCTGCTGCTGCTGCTGCTTCTGTTTTTGTTTGTCGCGATGCTGCCGCTTCTCTTTTTCTTTTGCGAGTTGCTGCAGCTCTGCCTGCAGCTGCTGCACCAAGTCAGCTGAGCTCTTCCTCCTGCTGCTGCTGCTGCTGCTGCTGCTTCTGCTTCTGCTGCTGTTATCCTTTACTTCCTCTCGCTTTATATCTCTGGTCTCGAGCCTGCCTCCATCACTGCTGCTTCTGTTGCTGCTGCTGCTCCTGCTGCTGCTGTTGCTGTTGTTATTGCTGTCCTCAGTTTGCTGCTGCTGCTGCATCTGCATACTGCCTCGCGCAGCTACTACTGCTTTGCTGCCTCCCTCTTCAAACCTGCTGCTGTTGCTGCTGCTGCTGCTTGGAGGCGTGCTGCTGCAGCTGTCTTCATTCGTTTGAGTAATCAGCCGCTCTACTACGCGGCCCCACACTGCGCCCATTGCCCCCAGAAGACCCCCAGCCTGCTGCTGCTGCTGCTGCTGTTGCTGCTGCTGCTGCTGCTGCTGCAGCCGCTGCAGCTGCTTGAGGGGACTGCTGCTGCGTCCGCTGGCGAGGGAGCGAGCTGAGCGGCTCTCTTCCTTTGCAGAAACAGTTTTGCTGCTGCTGCTGCTGCTGCTGCTGCTGCTGTTGCTGCTGCTGTTGCTGGTGCGGTTTCTACTGTCTCTCTCTGTTGCAGAGCAGCTATATTGCTGCATGAGGGAAGGCGCTCGGCCGTCTCGTACAGTAGCTACTGCAGGCGGACGCACCTGCTGCTGCTGCTGCTGCTGCTGCTGCTGCTGCTGCTGCTGCGTGGGTTCCTGAGTGGTTGCCTGCTGCAGCAGAGGCCCTCTGCTGCTGGATCTTCTGCGGTTTGCTGCCCCCTTCGGGCTTACAGCTTCACGTTGCTGCTGCTGCTGCTGCTGCTGCTGCTGCTGCTGCTGCCGCTGCTGCTGCTGCTGCTGCTGCTGCTCGGCGTTGCGTGTGGGTATTGATGGGGCCTCAAGTATTTGCCTCCAGCGCTGTGTAGATCCTTCGAGAGGCCCCCGCAGTCTCGTCTGCTGCAGCTGCTGCTGCTGTTGCTGTTGCTGCTGCTGCAGCTGCTGCTGGTGAGAGAGGTGAGGCTCATCAGCTATAGTTGCTGCTGCAGTTGCTGCTTCTGTTGCTGCTGCTGCTGCTCGGTTGGAGATGTCTTTAGAAGGTTCTTGGGCTGATGCCCTTTGAGTGCGGAGCTGCAGCAGCAACTGCTGCTGCTGCTGCTGCACCTGCTGCTGCAGTTGTTGCAGCTGCTGCTGTTGCGCTGCATCCGATTGTACCAGGCTTCTCAATCGGGTGCGGCTGCTGCTGCTGCTGCTACGTAGGCCCGGAGCAGCAGCAGCAGCAGCAGAAGCAGCAGGATTGCCCTCGATATATCCAGAAGGGGCAGCGCTGACTTGAGAGGAGAGAGAGGGTGCAGCAGCAGCAACAGCGGCAACCCTGTTGTGTCGCTGTCTCTGTTGCTGCTGCTGCTGCTGCTGCTGCACAGCAGCAGCAGAGTTCAGCAGCATAGCAGCAGGTAGAGAGGGATATGCGGGTACATCATCATCAGCAGGGGCCCCCCGAATGTAGGAAGGGCCTTCAGGTGTAATGAACTGCTGCTGCTGCTGCTGCTGCTGCTGCTGCTGCTGCTGCTGCTGCTCC